CACTGCTGATACTAATCAGCGGCTGACTCTTCAAAAAATTCAGTTCCCATCACTGAGTAAGTACAGTTGGGGTTCTATTTTCCAATACACGTTACTTTGCATTTATCAATGTTAAAATTCATCTGCCATTTTGTTGCCTAGCTGCCTGTTTTTGTAACATCCATTTGTAACTCTTCAGTCTACTTTGGTCTTAACTATCTTCAGCAGTTTTGTATCATTTGCAAATTTTGCCACCTGTTTACCCCTTTCTCCAGTTCATTTATGAATATGTTGAATAGGACTGGTTTCAGTATGGACCCCTGCAGACACTACTAGTTACCTCACCTCTCTCCATTGTGAAAACAGACATTTATTCCTACCCTTTAACCAGTTAAACCCATAAGAGGACCTTCCCTCTTATTTCATGACAGCTTACTTTACTTTTTCCCCAAACAAATTATGTTCATGTGTCTGCCAGTTAGACTTACCCATCTATAATTGCCAGGATCAACTCTAGAGCCTTTTTTAAATTCATTTATTCCTAGTGTGAAAAACAAGGAATAAGGGATCTTTCGGAAAAGGCTTTATTTTCCGAAAGATCCCCATCTAGACTGGTGCTTTTTTCCGGCAAAGCCCCGAGCCGGAAAAAAGTGGTAGCCATTGTTATGCAAATGAAGCGGGGGGGATTTTAATCCCTGCTTCATTTGCAATTGCGATGTGTCTAATTTGCATCCCTTTTACGGAAAAGGGATGCAGTCTAGACACAGCCTTAAAGTAATACAGAATTAAATAAAGGCATTATTTTTCTACCCAAGTCTAGGGCCAAGATATAATTCTGAGTTTATAACATCATTCTCTAGCCATAAAGATTTGTGATAGCACTAATTCTGCTTCACAGCAGAAAAGAACATAGTGAAAGGAACATAGTGGCTATTTAGCTGTAGTACAAACACGACTATGAATGACAAAAATACATCTTAAATTTTTATTCAATACAAGTGTTGCTCTGTTATGAAAAACTAAATCTGAAAGACTTCTGTCTGAAATGTATATAACCATCTCTTGAATTTCAGTACACATTCCACTAAAAGTATCATTTGAATATTTTAAACACTGAAAGCTTTTCAGTTTAGTTTTAATTTAAATCTTTAGCAAATTTAAAGTTAGCTAAAAATTCCAAATACTGAGTGATGCTTATTTTTTAAGACTCAAAATTTGATACAATCAAAGCTAAAACACTCAATTTGATCAAATCATCAAATTATGATATGTTAAATTCTTACAAGTAATATAGAAGAAAATAGAATAAAGAATGTACACATACCATCTCACCAGACAATGGGCTCTAGGAGGAAAATCATTGTTCATACACAGCAAATCTTGCATAGATAACGGAAGGGCATCTGTGAAACAAATTTGATAAAGGTCAGTATTTACTTCATCAAGCACAAATCTATTATGAAAGTTAAAGACAGAATGGCCACAAACACAGGCTGCTCTGGCAGCAGCCCTTGTCCATGATGGCCAGGGGCTGCTCAGTGGGATTCAGAGCAGCCTCTGCCCACAGCGAGGCTGGGCCCACCGCGGGCAGAGGATGCTTCATGGCAGCCTCCCCTGCCTTCCCCATTATTAGAGGCAGCAGTGTGGGGGAGGCACCACGGAGACAATATTGGGGGAACTGGCTTTTAAGCCAGATCCCCCCAGCACCAGCTCCTGCTTCCCCTCTCCCCTTCCTGCCTCTGATACAGAAGCAGCAATGGGGAGGGGGCAAATGTGAGAAGAGTCAATCACTTGCTTACATTTTACAAACCAATTGCTACTACCACATCCAAGCTATATACCTTCAGACAAAAACAGAGATTTTGCACGGTTTATTGGCTTGTGTGTGTCTAGGGTCAGAGGAATGTTAATTTTTAAGGTTTGTTCAATTTGTTCTTTTAAAAACTCAAGTTGAAATGTGTCATTTTTGCAAAATTCCCAAAACACTTCAACGTGACTACATCAACACTATTTACTGCTTGGGATGTCTAGACCGCCCTCTACAGATCGGGGCAAACCAATTCAAAATGGCATCAGGCCCTGCCGGAATAGCATATGCAAAACTTCCAGCCATATCTCATAAGAATGGCCATACTGGGTCAGACCAATGGTCCATCTAGCCCAGTATTCTGTCTGCCAACAGCAGCTAATACCAGATGCCCCAGAGAGAGGGAACACAAAAGGTAATCCTCACATGATCACTCCCGTCATCCATTTCCAGACAAACAGAGGCTAGGGACACTATTCCTACATATCCTGGTTAGCAGCCATTGATGGACCTAACCTCCATGAATCTATCTAGCTTAGTTCTTTTTTGAACCCTACTTAAGTCTTAGCCTTCACCTCATCCTCTTGCAAGGAGTTCCATAGGTTGACTGTGCGCTGAGTGAAGAAAAACTTTATTTTGTTTTAAACCTGCTGCCTATTAATTTAATTTGGTGACCCCTAGCTCTTATATTATGGGAATAAAGTAAATAACTTTTCCTTATTCACTTTTTCCACACCAGTCATGATTTTATAGACCTTTAGCATATCCCCCCCTTAGTCTCCTCTTTTCTAAGATGAAAAGTCCAAGTCTTTTTAATCTCTCTTTATATGGGACCCATTCCACACCCCTAATCATTTTTGTTGCCCTTTTCTGAATCTTTGCCAATGCCAATATATCTTTGATATCAAAGAACTATCATTTACCTTCTACCAACTCCTCTTTCCCATCTTTGTCACTGGCTTCTTGCACAAGATAATGATGAGTAATGGAGAATCTGAAGTCAGCAAATGAAATTTCATCTGATTTTTCCTCCCATAATCCAGTGGTATATACACCCTGCAGATTTAAAAAGGGTAAGGAATTATTCTCTAACAACAATAACATATATTTCAAGTATTACCTACAGAATTAATCTTTCTGGTATGGATAATACGTATTTTACATCGATTTTATAGATTTAAAAATTAATCTATAAAATTAATTAATTGTATAGATTAATTTTTTAAAAGGAGTCCCAAAACACTCTACAGAGTTAAGTACTAAAACAAATGTCATTATGTTCAAGCCTATTCATTCCGAAGGTCTAGTTATTCTAAATAAACTACCTATAGAATTATCTGACATTTCAAAGGTGTTTGTACCTTTCTCCCACAAAAATCACAGAGTTCAGAGTGTTCACTGGTGTTGTGCTGACAGACAAAATGACTCCATTTGAAAATTACAACTACTGTGTACTGCTTAGTTTCACTATTTGGTGTGAAATAATTTTGCGTTTCTGATATTCATCTTGAATCTTATCTCATTTCTAAGTAATTACACAATTCTATCCTTCAGATAATAGTAAATAGTTTTGTGTATGAAATACAAACATCAATCAAGTTTCAGATGAAGAAATAGCAGCAAGACCACAGTTTAATATGTAGAGAGATGTAAAATCCCAATTAATCAATTAACCTAACATTTAAGTGGTTAACTAAGCAGCATCCCAAGCAGGGGACTGCTCTAGCCCAGCTGGAGGGACCAGCCCTGCCAGCCCTGCACAAAGTGCCCAGTGGGACTGGGGCTGCCCTCCGTGCACAGCAGGCTACGGGCAGAGGGTTGCTCCCAGGGAACCAGTGAACTGTTACCTATTCACATCCCAAATCTGCATAACACTAACTGTAAATATCCATGTAACACTGCATGTATAAGATGAACAGTTCTGACTTTCTGTACAGTTATGTTTAAACAATTATTTAGAGGATTCCTTAATTTGCACCATCCTCTTACTTGTTACAGGGCTCCCATCACTCAATTATTGGTCTAGACCAGTGGTCTCCAACCTTTTTAACAAGATTACTTTTTCAATTTAAGTGCAATTTAAGATCTACTTCAAACCCAAATAACATTGCCCCACTTTCTTCCCACCCCTTCTCTGAGGCCCTAACCCTGCTCCATCTTTTCTCCAAAACCTCACCCTGCTCATTCCAGACCCCTTCCTCCCCTATACCCACACACTTTCAACAGATTGGGGTAGGTGTGCAGGTTCTGGTCTTAGGCCAAGGGGTTTGGAGTGTAGGAGGGACCCCAAGGCTTAGCCCAGGGTGCAGGACTGGGGTCCAGGAGGGGTTTCAGGATGCAAGCCCTGGGAAGGAGTTTGGGTGCAGTGGGACTTACATCTGGGATAAGAGGTTGGGTGTAGGAGAAGATTCAGGGCTGGGACAGGGGTTCAGGAAGCAGGCTCTGGCTGGGCACTGTTTAACTGACAGCTTCCAGGCGGTAGAGCAGTAGAGTTAAGGCAGGTTCACTCCTGAAAGCAGCTGGTATATACAGCAATGGCTCCACAGCACCATATGCTGCCCCTCATATACAGGCACTGAGCCCACAACTTCTACTAGCCCCCATTCCCTGTTATTGATCAATGGGAGCTGCAGGAGTGGTCTGCAGGCAAGGACAGCATGTGGAAACCCCCTGCTCTGCCTCTCTCAGGGGCTGCAGGGACATGTCAGCCATTTCCAGGAGCAGCAATTACCACAGGGATAGGGACTCCAGCCACAACAGGTTAGGCATTTTAGAACTCACTACTCAAAGAATTACATTTAAGCATAAGAGAGAAATGAAAATTATGAAATGCACAGACCAAGCAAAAACCAAAAATAATCACACTCTGCAAGCAGTAAAAGTAGTAACAACAACTCCTCACCTATGTGTTGGGTTGGGAGCTAAGTGTGAAGTATAGTGTGCATTTGTGAGAATGACAGACACAAACTCAGGGTATGTCTACACTAGCCACTCTAGTTCGAACTAGGGTGGCTAATGTAGTCATTCGCACTTGCAAATGAAGGCTGGACAGGGTATGACTCAAAGGCACTTTAGGATGTTAATAAAGGTTGAAGCTCTGTGACTTTCTGACCTAACATGATATTCGTACAAAGCTTACTGACATAATAGTCAGCTTTCTTGGCAGACTGAGTTTTTGCTTGAGACTCTGCATTTGGGTTCAGTTTTGATATTCAAATTAAAATCAGTTCTTCCCAGGTTCATATAGAACAGCGGTCTTCAACCTTTTTAACCACAAGATCACTTTTTCAATTTAAGTGCAATGTAGAATCTACCTCAAACCCCAATATCCTTGCTCCACCTCCTTTCTGCCCCTTCTCTGAGGTCCCACCCCTTCTCCAAGGCCTCACCCTGCTCACTCCAGCCCACTTCCTCTCCCAGCAATATGCGGCAATGTGCAACATGTACAGCAGTGGTGTGTTGGGTCAGGAGATGAGAGAAGGGCAGTGTGTGTTTGTAGGAATGACAGAGGCTCACACAGTGTATGAGACTGACAGAGATTTGCATTGCCAAGCTCCCTCCATCCCCTTCTCTTTGTGTAGAGACAGGGTATAGAAGGGGGGGAGGAGGAGCACCCCAACATCAGTACCCTCCCTTCTCCTTCCCACACCCTGCACAACAAGCAGGAGGCTCCCAGGGGGGCAGCTCCAAGGCAGAGGGCAGGAGCAGCGTGACAGTGGATGGAGGGGCAACTGAAATGCCAGCCCTTGATGGCTTCCTGGCCAAACCAGTCAGGATCACCTGTCAGAGGCTCTAACATCTACTGGTAGATTAGGGATGTAAGCAACTAGTTGACTATCCAATAAGCACATGCTCATTGGATAGTTGACTCAATTAGTTGCTTCCCCCCACCCTTGCTGCCTCTATCAGAGAGGCAGGAAGGGGAGGGGGGAGCAGGAGCCGGCTCCCCCCAGCACTGTCTACGTAAGGGGGAGGCAAGGTGCAGCGGGGAACTGGTGGTGCTTCTGCCTTTGAAATATGTCAAGAGTAGTCTCCTCTGGCCCCATGCTCCCAGCAGCACTTCCACCTTCGAAACGTAGCAAGAGCCAGCAAGGCTCTTGCTACATTTCAAAGGCAGAGGTGCCCTTATCAGCTAATCGAATAGTTGATGCAATGCAGTAACGCAGAAAAAGTGAGAGGATGGCCAGCGGTCTAGACGTCTCAACAGACAAGCTCTTAACTTAAGGCACGGGAATATATTAACAGTTAAGACTGAAAGTATTTACATTTGATCAGGGGTCAGCAACCTTTCCAAAGCGGCATGCCAACATTTAAGCCTCCTGCCCTGGGCTGTGCCACTCTGCCGGGGAAGGGAAGGGCTCTCTCCACCACGCACCCCCTGGACCTACGGGGTCAATGCAAACCTTTCTGTGGACTACCAGTTGCTAATGGAAAAACTCACAGTTAATTACATAATTACACCTGAGCCATTTTGCTAGTGCTGCAGCTGGGGAGAACAGTTTAATTTAAACTATTAAAGAGGTGGAGCGTTTTAACTTTATCATATTAGTTTATCAAACTTCATTTTAAGTAAAGTAAAATATTATGTCCAACACAAAAGGTTTCAATGTTTTCTTTATTTATGGCAGGGTAGGGAACCTCTTTTGGGTCAGGTGTCACTGACCCACAGAAAAATCAGTTGGGGATCACGCAAGTGAGAAGCAAAAAATTCTCTCTCAAACCCCCAACCCTCATTGATGTGGCCCCCAACTGAGACACCTCACTCTTCCGGCACTCCAGCCCCCACAGGGTGAGGGGAAGGGACAGGGAGAACTGCAGTTTAGGGCTTCCCAAAGGCCAGATTTTCTTTTCTGAGGTTCCAGAGTTAGTAGATTTTGTGGACCCCCCTTAGCCTTTGAGGTAGGAACAAAAATGAGGAGATCAATGTGTGTGACATGGCTGCTAGCAAGTGGGATAGGGATGCAGGACCTGGGCAGGAGGTGAGGTGCAGGACAAGGTGAGGAGGGTAGGGTCTGGAAGGGAGTTTGTTGGCAGGAGAGAGTGCGGGGTCGGGGGACAAGAGAGGGTTTAGGGGCAGGAGGGGGCTGGGGAAAAGGTGAAAGAATGAGAGCCAAATACCTAGTTGGGGAGAAAGGCAAAGAAGTGGGGAGTAAAAGAAAGTGCAGTTTCTGTGAAGTAAACTTGTGTCCTCCCTCACATCTTCCCTCTGCTCCAGCCTTGCTCCCCTCAGCCCCACAATCCCTCACTAGTGTGATCTCCTGAATCGTCCCATGCCCCTCAGTGCAACCCCTGCATCCTCCTTCACCCCAACTCCTGCCCCGACATCCCTGTGCCCCCAGCACACTCACCGGCAGGACAGCAGCACTAGGACTCACAAACCCTCCAGGAGCAGCGGAACACGGCCCAGGCCCCGGCACCCCACGTGGGCCAGCCGTCGGAAGCAGAGCCAGGGATGCACATGTGCGTGTACACATATGCCTCCCCTGCCCCACCCTCGCCCCCACAACAGGAAGCCAAAACTGGTGCCTACAGCTGCATGGGCTGGGAAGCCTCCACAGCTCCTTCCTTGCAAAAAGCAAGTTCAGCCATCATATTAAAATTCTAAATAAAAAAATTAAAAAGAACATCATACCACAACACTGTTTGTATGCATGAGTGTGTGGTATGGGGTTTTGTTTGTTTTACTCTTCTCACTTTTGTGCGGCCCCCGGCTGATATATATGCAGGTTAGCAGTTCCGACCCAAAAAAAGATTCCCCATCCATGGAGGAGATACTCCCTAAATAGTTTTTAGATTTTGAGGGAGGAGAGTACCTCAGCCACAACTGTATCCTCTGTAATAAAATACTTACAAATATTCACTAGCTCTGAGGATTCCTGTGAGATCTTTATCCATACAACATAAAAGTTCAGTGTGATGAAGTGGAAGAAAAATAGAGACCCTTGAGAACTTAAATGGGAACCTGGACAGTACCTTTCCCACTCTGAATCCAGGACAAGAACACCGAAGCACATATAAAGGTCTACTCATTACCAATGTAACATTTCCTTGGGAGAAAATTTCTCACAATCATCACTAGACACATAATTTTGTCCACAGATTCATTTCTGCAAGTAAAACTTCCCACTGAAAACTGTTCTCACTAGAAATAACTTTATATTAGTCTGCCAAACTCAAGAAAGTTTGAAGTGTAAATACGAATGCACATTATGTTATACCTTCCATTTCCAATTCTAAAACAGAATTTCAGAAGCAATTAAACTGACCTTTTCTAGAGGCTTCCCTGAAGAAATCCCAATAAGTTTCCAGTCATTCAAAACTTCTTCAACTTTTGAAATAAATCTAGAGGGAAGAAAAATTGTTAGCGTTTTCTCAACAGTAGCTACATTAGAATTAATCTTCCAAACAATTCCTGAAAAACAGGTACTATATAATTCATTATAAACTAAAGTTGTTAAAATATGTTTAAATAACCGAGTAATCACTGAAAATGTCAGTGGTTCCATGGTTACACAAGGGGCGGCAGTCAACACCCCAGGAGTAGGTATGTGCAGGCAGCTGTTTTTTAAGCTGGCTCCCCATATGTACCTGGAGGCTGTGTGTAACCTTCAAGGTTAACTGATGAACCCAGGCTCATAAGTTAACTGTGGACATGGTTACGTTTTCACATCCTTATTATAAAAAAAACGTAGCAAGATAAAAGGTTAATTTTAGGATTTTATGCTATTATTTTTTTCCTCAATTTCACATATACTGAGTGTCTGATTGTGAGCCTTTTATTTGCACTCATGACCTCTTGGTGTTACTCCCAAGAGTAGTTTCACTCACTAATTCTATTTCAGGGGAAATTACACTTCATTCAGAGTTTCATTTCACTGATCACTAGTGTAAATAATGAGTTCAAAATCTGATTTATAGAATGCAAGCACAAACATTCCATTAACCAGAGAGCAGAAGGTACCCAAATAGTATTGTAGAAACTAAGTAATTTTCAAAGTGAATGATTCTGAGTGTGTCTGACCAGCTCAGAAATTCTACACTTGGAAAATTAATTTTAAAACAACCTATTTACTATATAACACAGTGCTACTTAGGTCACCCAGTATCTGATCTGTTCAAGGACAGCATGGAATAAAGCAATGGTTCCCAAACTTTTCCACATAATGCCCCCTTTTTGATTTTTGAGAAACCCCCCCAAAAAATATAGCAGCAAAACTTGTTGAGCAGATGCCCGAGCGGACGGACAGACTGACTGGGCTCTTTCTTGGGGGGGTAACTGACAGAGGGGGCTGAGTCATCTCACGCCCCCCCCCCGGAATTTCTTCACACCCCACCCCGAGGCAGGTCCCCCAGTTTAGGAACCCATGGAACGATGACCAGAGACTGAGCAGGAAATCTCATAACTTTTGGAATATCTGAAACTAAAAAATGCATAGTATACCATAAAAAGATAAAGTTGCAATTTTAGTTTATACTTCTGTTAATGGTGATAAACCCTTCAAAATTTGTTCTTAGTTTAGAAAGTCACCTGAGCTTTCTGGATTAGCAAACAGAATTCATGCTTTGTATCTCACAGCAAGTTAATATTTTTCACCATGAGCAGTTCTGAACACTCTCTTCAGTTGATTTAAATTACACTCAAACACAGGAAATCCAAAGGACCAAGCCAACAATTGTAAGGCAATAAATCAACAATAGCTGCAAATAGTGTTTTTCTCAATTCCAACAGCTGAAAACTGATTATTAAAAATAATGGAAAGACAGATTCTAGTATGTATTTTTCTACCTGCAAGATTTCATTCTTTGAAACTTCAGTGAAACCACAGAAGATCTCAGAATATTATGAAACACACCCAATAGGTTGGCCAATAGGAATGTAGGTAGGAATTTCAAACTCGGACAAAGGAATTTTGGTTTCTTCCTCCTTTCTCCTGAGCAGTTTTTCTCCAGCTACTGAGAAAGTCAGACAGAATGTCTCCCTCCAAGAATAGACTCTTCACTCTTCTGTAAGTAGGGTAAAGTTTTGATAAATCCATTAAGTTTTATGGTTTGGAAAATGGGAGCTGATGTCTGTGCACTTTTTAAAAATGTATTTTTGCTCTCTTTTGTAACTAAGTCCTAGGCCCATAGTGGGGTTCTCCCACCATGAGTATTACTTTGTGACTCTTCCATCTAGTCGTGATGCTTACAACAGGAATATTGTGGGGATAATAAAAGTTCTTTCTCTTTTCTTTTATTAACCTGGTATTGGTTAATTTGTGTGTCCTGGTTTTACTTTAGGGGGTGAGATTTCCCAAGTAATCTCTCCCTGGTTTCTTTATTATTACTTGGGTGGTGGCAGTGGAGTTTCTATCCCCAAAATCTAGGTTATTAAGATTCTGGGGGAAGTTTTTACCAAAGCCTGAAAACATAAGGTTTTGGGGTACTTTTGCTGGCCCCCACTTCTGCATTTATCATGCCAGAGTGGGGAAGGAGCTATGACAAAGGCAAAGGCTCAAAAAGATCTCAAAATAGCTATAGACATAAAAGGTAACAAGACAACATTCTATAAATATATTAGAAGCAAGAGGAAGACCAAGGACAAAGTTACTCCAGTGAGGAGGGAGAAACAACAACAGGAAACTTGGAAATGGCAGAGGTCCTTAATTACTTCTTTATTTCAGTCTTCACCAAGAAGTCTGATGATGAAGGGATGCCTAACAATAGTAGGAAGAAGGTAGGTTTAGAAGATGAAATAAAAAAAGAACAAGTTAAAAGTTACTTAGAAAAGCTAGATGTCTGCAAGTCACCAGGGTCTGAGGAAATGCATCCTAGAATACTCAAGGACGGGCCTGCACAACATGCGGCCCGCAGGGGCTCACTGTGTGGCCCATGACAACTACAGGCGGCGCAGCCCCATCCGATCCGCTGGCCGGGCGGAGGAGCGGAGCGTCGCTGAGAAGGGGGAAGTGCGGTGATTCTCGCCACCAGGCTGCATGCGTGCAGCTCCGGCGCAAAGAGGTGGGGCGCGAGCCAGAGGGTGAGACACCAGCAGACGCCAGGATGCTGGTGTGACATCACGGCCAGCGACCTCCAAATTCAAAAAGGCAGAAGACAGGTAGAGGAGGGGAAGGGGCTTGTGCTGAGGGGAGGGAGGCAGGTTAGGAGAAAGAGGAAGACACCAAGGGGCAGGGTGAAGGAGACAAATGCCAGGGGGCCAAGTGGAGACACGCAGTGTTTGGGTTTTTTTTTTGGCTCAACAAAAATTTTTAGGCGTGCTTGGTATTTTTTGGGAGAGCATCCCTACTTGCGGCCCGCAGCTATTTTCTTTGGAGTAATATGGCCCTCGTCGCTTTCCGAGTTGTGCAGGCATGCTCAAGGAGCTGATAGCTAAAGGAGGATACCTCCTCTATCATCTTTGAAAAATCATGGAAGATGGGAGAGATTCCAGAAGACTGGAAAAGGGCAAATATAGTGCCCATTTATAAAAAGGGAAATAAAAATAAACCAAAACCAATCAGTTTAACTTCTGTGCCAGGAAAGATAATGGTGCAAGTAATTAAGAAATTCATCTGCAAACATCTGGAAGAAAATAAAGTGATAGGTAACAGCCAGTATGGATTTGTAAAGAACAAAGCATGTCAAACCAATCTGATAGCTTTCTTTGATAGGATAACGAGTCTCGTGGATAAGAGAGAAGCAGCATATGTGGTATATCTAGACTTTAGTAAGGCATCTGATCAGGTCTCGCATGATCTTCTTATCAATAAACTAGGCATATACTACTTAGATGTGGCTACTATAAGGTGGGTGCCTAACTGGCTATTTAACTGTTCTCAGAGAATAGTTATTAACCATTCACAATCATGCAAGAAGGGCATAACAAGTGGGGTTCCACAAGGGTCTGTTTTGGGACAGGGTCTGTTCAATATCTTCATCAACAATTTAGATATTGGCATAGAGCAGTGGTCCCCAACCTTTAGAGGCTCCCGGGCGCCCGGGAGGTGGGGCCACTCACGCGCCGGGCGCCCGGGAGGTGGGGGCAGGGCTGCACGTCCGGGGGCACGCCAGGGGACTGGGATGCCCTTGCACCTGGCGCTGGCATGTGCCCTAGGGCCGGGGCTAGGGCCGCCCGAGCGCCCTGTGCCGTGGGCCCAGGGTGCTGCCCAAGCCACGCGCCTGAGGCCGGCACCAGCGCCGCTCGAGCACCGCGCACCCGAGCGCCCACATGTGCCCTGGGGCTGGGGCTGCCCAAGTGGACTACAAGTTAAACATGAGAGAACAGTGTGACACTGTCACAAAAAAACCAAGAATAGAGAGTATGCTTATTAAGCCTGCAGATGATACTAATCTGGGAGGGACTGCAACTGCTTTGGAGGATAGAGTCATAATTCAAAATGATCTGGACAAACTGGAGAAATGGTCTGGGATACATAGGATGAAGTTTAATATGGAAAAATGCAAAGTATTCCACTTCGAAAGGAACAATCCATTTCATGATTACAGAATGGGAAGCAACTGTCTAGGAAGGAGTACTGCAGAAAGGGATTTAGAGGTCATAGTGGACTACAAGTTAAACATGAGAGAACAGTGTGACACTGTCACAAAAAAACCAAACAATTCTGGGATGCATTAACAGGAGTGTTGCAAGCAAGACATGACAGGTCATTCTTCTGCTCTACTGTGTGCTAAGTAGGCCTCAACTGGAGTTCTATATCCAGTTCTGGACCCCATGTATCAGGAAAGATGTGGAGAATTTGGAGACATCCAAAGAAGAGCAACAACATGACCTATGAGGGAAGACTGAAAGAACTGGGCTTGTTTAGTTTGGAAAGGAGCAGACTGAGAGGGGACATGATAGCAGTTTTCAAGTACAGGCAGTCCCCGGGTTACATGGATCCGACTTACATCGGATCCCTACTTACAAACGGGGTGAGGCAACCCCGCACTAGCTGCGCCCCTGCCCCAGCAGACCGCCGAGATGCGCCGCGGTCCCACCATCCGCGTCCTCTGCGGCAAGAAAAGCCACTCCACGTCTCCCTGGTCTGCAGGACTGAGGGAAGTGAGGTGTGGGAGAATAAAACTGAGCTCTGGAGAAATGTTTGGTTAGAGTTTCCCCTACAATATGTACCAGTTCCGACTTACATACAAATTCAACTTAAGAACAAACCTATAGTCCCTATCTTGTACGTAACCCGGGGACTGCCTGTATCTAAAAGGGTGTCACAAGGAGGAGGGAGACAAATTGTTCTTCTTGGCCTCTGAGGATAGGACAAGCAGCAGTGGGTTTGAACTGCAGCAAGGAAGGTTTAGATTGGACATTAAGAAAATCTTCCTGTCAGAGTGGTTAAGCAATGGAATAAATTGCCTAGGAGGGTTGTGGAATCTCCATCTCTGGAGACATTTAAGAGCAGGTTAGATAAACATCTATCAGACCATGGTCTAGACTCACAGATGTGCCACATTTTTGTTACTTGTTTTTGTCTTTTTTTGTGAGAATTTTTTTTTTTAAGAAAATTTTCATAGGTGTTCTACATAAATTATTATTGTTCGGTATTCCGTGGTCTCAAAAAGTTTAAGAAACACTGGTCTACAGGGTGCTTGGTCCTGCTGTGAGGGCAGAGGACTGGACTCAATGACCTCGAGGTCCCTTCCAGTTCTAGTGTTCTATGATGGGTCTGATCCTACTTCTATTGACTTCACTGGAAATGAGATTATGCCACTGATATATTTTACTAGCATTTCAATATTCCAGCCAGAATTTTGTATGGTTGGGATAGCACCTTCTGACTTTCCAATCAACCTTAATTAGAAGGAATCAATTTTCTTCTATGCTTACTCAACCTGCATTCAAACTAGTACTTCAATCAACTACTGTATATCTGAGTTTGTGTCAGGTACAGAGATCCATTCTGTGCACTGTCTACATAGTATTTTAATTAAGTAAACAAGAACAAGATGATTACACTTCTGACAAACAAAACAACATAAATTCTTCCTGTCAAATATGTAGCCAGCCAAAACTGACAGCTCTTATTTAACCACACACGCACTGGATCTGCATTGCACTGGATACAGGGAATACCATGTTGCACACTGTTAGGCCACAGAAAATTGGGCCTAGGGCAGTTATGCTAAGACAGACGGAGAAGAGTCCAGCAAAGGGTTCTGGGTAGTCCCTGAACAAAATTTGAGACATGAGTTGAGCAAGGGCATGAGATAAGCGAACAGCTGCATTTTTGTACTTGCTGAGCTGAACAGCTTGCTTAAGAAACGGATAAGAAAACGCCCCGTCTCCTCGTCGTCTGGTACTCGCCTTCTGTCTTAATAAGAAAGTTGCTAATGTATCAAGGCCACCTTGTATAGTTGGCAAGGTATGCACCCATGCTAGAAGTTTCTAAGAGGGGTGAGTTGCTTAAGTAAACAGTCTATGACAGGATGGAACTGTCTATATAACCCTACTTGCTATAGGAATCGGGGGCTGGTTTTCGGAGAGATGGGCTGCTCTCTATTGTCGTGTGCACTCTCCAATAAAGAGCTTTGTGATTAGACCTTGCTGGTGTTGCCTGTCTCTTTGCGGTCAGACAACCAACTGAAGCCGTCTGGGTTTGAGTCCCCAACAACGTGACACTGTGTTTGAAGCTATGAAATGTCAGAAAATACAATTCCTGACCTGTCTCTACCTTAGCTTCGCTGAAAGGCCCCCTCCTGCTAACATTGGTTCTCCTGCAGTGGTGCCAGCGACAAGGCTCCAGGAAGTCACTGGCTATTTGATCACCGAGACTGAACCACCGCAGGTCTATGCAACAGTCCGGTAAAAGCGCTGCTGGCTGGCGAGCCCCGCCCCCCCGCCACGGGAGTGGGAAACTGGTCACCAAAACGGCTGTGGGGCCGGCCCCTGGGAGTCGGGGAGCTGGAGCGAGAGGCCCTTCCCGGGGCTGCCGACCCAGGCAGGAGCTTGCCTAGGAATCCCCTCCAAACCCCTCCTCAGACAGCCCTGCCTCCTACACCCATCCCCTCCAAACCCCTCCTCAGACAGCCCTGCCTCCTACACCCATCCCCTCCAAACCCCTCCTCAGACAGCCCTGCCTCCTACACCCATCCCCTCCAAACCCCTCCTCAGACAGCCCTGCCTCCTACACCCATCCCCTCCAAACCCCTCCTCAGACAGCCCTGCCTCCTACACCCATCCCCTCCAAACCCCTCCTCAGACAGCCCTGCCTCCTACACCCATCCCCTCCAAACCCCTCCTCAGACAGCCCTGCCTCCTACACCCATCCCCTCCAAACCCCTCCTCAGACAGCCCTGCCTCCTACACCCATCCCCTCCAAACCCCTCCTCAGACAGCCCTGCCTCCTACACCCATCCCCTCCAAACCCCTCCTCAGACAGCCCTGCCTCCTACACCCATCCCCTCCAAACCCCTCCTCAGACAGCCCTGCCTCCTACACCCATCCCCTCCAAACCCCTCCTCAGACAGCCCTGCCTCCTACACCCATCCCCTCCAAACCCCTCCTCAGACAGCCCTGCCTCCTACACCCATCCCCTCCAAACCCCTCCTCAGACAGCCCTGCCTCCTACACCCATCCCCTCCAAACCCCTCCTCAGACAGCCCTGCCTCCTACACCCATCCCCTCCAAACCCCTCCTCAGACAGCCCTGCCTCCTACACCCATCCCCTCCAAACCCCTCCTCAGACAGCCCTGCCTCCTACACCCATCCCCTCCAAACCCCTCCTCAGACAGCCCTGCCTCCTACACCCATCCCCTCCAAACCCCTCCTCAGACAGCCCTGCCTCCTACACCCATCCCCTCCAAACCCCTCCTCAGACAGCCCTGCCTCCTACACCCATCCCCTCCAAACCCCTCCTCAGACAGCCCTGCCTCCTACACCCATCCCCTCCAAACCCCTCCTCAGACAGCCCTGCCTCCTACACCCATCCCCTCCAAACCCCTCCTCAGACAGCCCTGCCTCCTACACCCATCCCCTCCAAACCCCTCCTCAGACAGCCCTGCCTCCTACACCCATCCCCTCCAAACCCCTCCTCAGACAGCCCTGCCTCCTACACCCATCCCCTCCAAACCCCTCCTCAGACAGCCCTGCCTCCTACACCCATCCCCTCCAAACCCCTCCTCAGACAGCCCTGCCTCCTACACCCATCCCCTCCAAACCCCTCCTCAGACAGCCCTGCCTCCTACACCCATCCCCTCCAAACCCCTCCTCAGACAGCCCTGCCTCCTACACCCATCCCCTCCAAACCCCTCCTCAGACAGCCCTGCCTCCTACACCCATCCCCTCCAAACCCCTCCTCAGACAGCCCTGCCTCCTACACCCATCCCCTCCAAACCCCTCCTCAGACAGCCCTGCCTCCTACACCCATCCCCTCCAAACCCCTCCTCAGACAGCCCTGCCTCCTACACCCATCCCCTCCAAACCCCTCCTCAGACAGCCCTGCCTCCTACACCCATCCCCTCCAAACCCCTCCTCAGACAGCCCTGCCTCCTACACCCATCCCCTCCAAACCCCTCCTCAGACAGCCCTGCCTCCTACACCCATCCCCTCCAAACCCCTCCTCAGACAGCCCTGCCCCCTACACCCATCCCCTCCAAACCCCTCCTCAGAGACAGCCCTGCCCCTGCACCCATCCCCTCCAAACCCCTCCTCAGAGACAGCCCTGCCCCTGCACCCATCCCCTCCAAACCCCTCCTCAGAGACAGCCCTGCCCCTGCACCCATCCCCTCCAAACCCCTCCTCAGAGACAGCCCTGCCCCTGCACCCATCCCCTCCAAACCCCTCCTCAGAGACAGCCCTGCCCCTGCACCCATCCCCTCCAAACCCCTCCTCAGAGACAGCCCTGCCCCATACACCCATCCCCTCGTCAGAGACAGCCCTGCCCCTGCACTCATCCCCTCCAAACCCTCCTCAGAGACAGCCCTGCCCCTGCACCTATCCCCTCCACATTAATCTACTGGAATATTTTGAAGGTTTCGTCAAGCATGTGGAGAAGGGTGATCCAGTTGATATAGTGTACTTGGCCTTTTTAGTTTGCACATCAATGGCTCTTAAAGTAAGCAATCATGGGATAAGAGAAAAAGTCCTCTCATGAGACAGAAACTGGTTAAAAGTTATGAAACAAAGAGTAGGATAAATTATCAGTTTTCACAATGGATAGGAGTAAATAGCTTGAGGATTTTTACCGGGACTTGTGCTGTTCAACATACTTACAAATGATCTGGAAAAGGGGGATGAACAAAGGAGTGGCAAAATTTGCAGATGATACAGAATTATTCAAGACAGTTAAGTTCAAAGCAGACTGCAAAGAGTTAAAGGGATCTCACAAAGGTGAGTGACTGAACAACAAAATGGCAAATGAAATTCATTGTTGACAAACACAAAGCAAGGCACACGCTGGAATACATTATGCCAACTTTACGTACAAAATGATGGGGTTCTAAAGTAGCAGGTACCACTCAAGAAAAAGATCTTGAAGTCATCATGCATAATTCTTTGAGAACATCTGCTTAATGTGCAGCAGCAGTTAAAAAAACTAATTAGGGAAGAGATGGAAAAGAAGACAGAAAATATCATAATGTGAGGATAAAAATCCATGGTATGTCCACACTAGGAAAGGCTGCAGTTCTGGATGCTCCAGCTCAAAAAAGATATATGGTGTTAGAACTGGAAAAGGAAACAAAAATGATGAGGTTTATGGTACAGCTTCCATACGAGAGATTAAAAAGCCTGAAATGGTTCAGTTTAGAAAAATGACTAAGGAGGTATATGATAGAGATCTATGAAATGATGAATGGTGTGGAAAAAGTAAATAAGGCAAGCATGTGCAATAACAAAATGGCGGCCTGCAGGGTTAGTCCCTGGTGGGCCACCGTCACTATATTTACCTGTGCCATCACAGATATCGGGCAATCACAGCTCCCGTTGGCTGCAAATCAGGACACTGCCTCCTGATGCTCCCATTGGCTGGAAAATGTTCCGCTGTTACATGATTACATAATTAAACACATTTTAACATTCCTAATGGACACCCAGAGAAAAGTTCCATAAAAATAGGTCATGCAAGCAAAAAGATAGTTGTAAAGACAACATATTGAGACATACGCTGCTTTGTGTGCTAGAGCAATTATTTTGTAATTGGGACCTAAAATCCTACTATGTAGTTAGCCATATTTATTTTCATACATGCAGAGACTTCAACTTACAATTCTCTAAATAAAATGCCCAGGGGACAGTTGCCTTGGCAACAGCCTGTAAACTAAACAGTCTGGTTGTAGCATTGACTGCTTGAAGAATTTTACGCTAGAAGAATTTGCTTTCATAACAATCTCAACAATCTTGGCTATGCAATCTCAAGCTCGCCCAGAAAATAAAATCGAAGTACATAGAATCATTGTGTGAATAAGCTGCTCTTCAGTGAATAGGGACAACTATGACCTAAAAATGCTGTTTAGCTGATCTTTGGATTGGTGCCTGTTTCAAAACTTGCTCTAGGTAAGCTCAGTGTTTCAGCATATTTTGCAGAACCTACTATGTTCAGTTATTATTTATGAAGGTCCACAGTTATGCATGGTAATTTACAATAAAATAAAAAGACAAAAGGAGATCTAATTATCTTACAAACTAGTTTAATGGAATGGATATGCTAATATACAACAGGAGAAAGTGTTGTCTAGTGATTTAGCACAGAGGATTAAGAATCAAGATTCTTGACTTCTATCCTAGTTATTGCACTGATTGATTGTGGGACCTCAGGCAAGTAATTCAGCTTTTCTGTATATGTTTAGCCATGTTTAAAATGTTGGTAATACCTGCCTATATCCCAGCATTGTTATGAGGCTTACTATTATTGTGTTAAACTGTATGAGATTCTTGGATTAAAAAGTGCTTTATAAAAGTGCAATTTGTTATAATAGAATTTAATCTAGGATAAATCCAAGGGGATAACTATCAACAAGTCTGTAGAAGGTGCTGCAGCATTTGTTCAAGGAATTAAGCTTTCTTATTAGTTAATGTAATATGAAATAAGAGCCTGAGTCTGCTCATGTTGAATAGTACACTCTAGGAAAATTAGTGAAGTCAAAGAAAGTTGGATTGGGCCCTACAGTCTCTCCCCCGTCCCCCGGAATTTATAGCTAGATGGAAAAATTTTAACTATTTAAGAATCTCTGCCATAAGCAGCATCTAGTCTTTTGTTGAGTGAGGAATGGGCAGTATGAGCCACTAAAAAGGTGTGTGAAAGAAAAAAAAGAGCAGAGGGAACAGAGTTGGAAAAGGAACAAAAAATAAAGAAAATAAATCGCAACAAAAATTCCAGAGCATGCTTCAGGGGATAGGTATCCTAATGGGCTAGGACAGATTGCCCATCCAGCAAGTTATTGCAAGAATGGCTCCAGTATGAAAAAGTTTGGGAATCGTATTAGAAGCTTGAAATTACTCTCATAATGTCAAGGATAGTCTAAAATCAGTGCAGGGGGCTGCACATGATAATTACTTGAGATCCCTTTCAGCCCCACATTTCTACAGTTCTATTAAAAACAGAGAG